TTAGTGGCAATAATAGCAATCATAAATAGCATGTTACCAGAGTTTTGCAGGTAAGACAATCTGGCTTGCTGAAACTGAAGAAGACCTAATATATGTGCTGCAGAAGGTCAAGTTTTCAATATGGATTGAAGCTCAACATTAAGAAGACAAAGATTCTCACCACTGGGCGAATTGGCAGCATCACGAAAGATAGAGAAGATATTGTTGTTATTGACTGCCTTCGAGTCGAGTATGACCCATAGTGACCCTATGAACAAAAGGCTTAAAAGCCCCTTTACAATTATTGACATTTATCAAAATTCATAGATTTTCTGGAGGCATGTTATTTAGGAAGTAGATGCCACTTCTGCTTCCAAAACTGTCATAGTATGTCATTGCTGTTATGTGCCATTGAGTTGCCTGCGATGTATAGCAATTCTATGTATAGCAGCTCTGAACCCTTCCCTGTCCTGAGCCAGTCTCACTAATTCTGACACACCAACCCCCATTGCCCCATTTACTGTTTCAATCTATCTCATCCTGAATCTCCCTCTCCTGCGCTGTCCGTCCACCCTTCTGAGCATGGTGTCCTTCTGCAAGGACCAATCTCTCCTGGCCACATGCCCAAAGTAAGTGAGGTGGAGCATCAAAATCCTAGCCTCCAAGGAGAGACTTAGTTTCACCCATTGCAAGACAGACCTATTTGTTTTCTTGACAGTCCATGGTATGTTCAAGACTCTTCAGCACCACAACATCTATTCTTCTTCTGTCATCCTTAGTCATTGTCCAGCTCTCTAAAGCATAACACGTAATTGAGAAGACCATGGCCTGGATTAGGTGCACCTTTGTATCTAAACTGACTTTGTTGCTCTTCAGCACTCTGGAGAGTTCCATGACAGCAGATTTTCCCAATGAAGTTCGTCTTTTGATTTCTTGATCCTGGTGTTGAGAGTGTTGATTGTGGAGCTGAGCAAGCTGTAATTGTTAACAACCTCAATCTCTTCTCTATCTATTATGGTGCTGCCAATTGGCACAGTGGTGAGAATCTTTGTCTTCTTGATGATGAGTGTCAATCCATATTGAAGACTACAGTCCTTGACCTTTTGCAGCAACAGCTTCAGGTCTTCTTCAGTTTCAGCAAGCAAGGGTGTGTCATCTGCATATCATAGGTTATTAATGAAACTTCCTCCAATCTTGATGCCACAATCCTCCTCATAAAGCCCTGCTTCCTGAATGATTGTTCTGCATACAGATTGAAAAGGTATGGGGATAGGATGTATCCCTGATGCACTTGTTTCCTGATTTTGAACCATGCAGTGTTTCCTTGCTCCGTTAATAATTTCAGCTTGCCTGGCTCTGTAATCAACACTCTTGGCACGAGCAGGCAGAAAATCAAAAGATGAATTGCATTGAGGAAGTGCGCTTTCAAAGACCTTTCTAATGTGCTAAGACCTTTCTAATGTGTTAAAGAGCACTGATGTCTGTCTCGAAACTAAAGTGCACCTCATCCAGGCCAAGTTCTTCACAATTACTTGCTGTGAATCAGAGAGCTGGACAAGTGACTAAGGATGATAGAAGAAGAATTGATGCGTTTGAGTTGTGGTGCTGGAAAAGAGTATTGAACATCACATGAACAGCCAAGAGAACAAACAGGGAGGGAGTGAAGCTAAGTTTCTCCTTGGAGGCAAGGATTTTTGCAACTCCATCTCACAGATTTTGAGCATGTGATCAGAAGGGACCAGTTCTTTGGAGAAAGACAACATGCTTGTAAGGATGGAGGGTCAGCACATAAGAAGACCCCAGATGAGGGGATTGACACTGAGGAAATGGGGGTCGGTGTGTTGGAGTCAATGAGACTGGCTCAGGATAAAGCAGGGTTCAGGGCTATTGTGCAAAAGATTGTTGTGATTCACGGGTGACTTGAAGGCACATAGCAACAAAAGCTATGACATGAGCTTTTTATACTCAATCCTTACTGGAGTCCTGTGTTGTCTCTTATATAGAGATGAAAAAACTGAGACCCAACTATGTTTGAGCACCCATAAAAGTAAAGCTGGGATTTGAGCTCTTCTCCTGAATTTTGCTTTGAGATGAACACATCAGATGTACCAGGGTAAAACAAAACCATCAGGGTGTTTTCATCTCGGACACATCCCAGGCTTGCTAGTCCTGTTGATTGTGAATTGACTACCATCAGAGTTTGCTTCTTTCAGGTGATGGGAACACAGGTAATTTACTGCTGGTTTGTCCACAGTAATGGCCCTTCCTTCTTAGAAGCTGTGAGTTCTGCCTCTAGGATGAGACAAGAGGGATGCCAGATGGGGCTGGCTACTCTGCAGGGGATCTGATCTTGGCCTTGCAGTTGCAGACTAGAGCGTCTAGCCCCATTAATAGGGAAGCACATGGCTGTTTGCTTAGCAGGATAGTACATCAAGTCAGAGTTCCAGCAGTTTCTGTTAAAACGCTTTGTACAGCCAGAGCAGAAGAATTTCTTTGGTGCGGTGACCTGCCTTCTTTTACTGGGACAGAGAGGCTGTGAATGCTTGAAAGTGTGCTTTCTGGTTTCTGGGGGCCAGGGACTACATCCCTGAGCTCGATTGTGCAGCAGTGGGACCTCGGACACGTCACTTCACCTTTCAGAACACATCTCTGAAGGGGAGAAACAACAGCGCCTAATCCACCATGAGGCTTCTTAGCAGAAAAGCCTGGTGATGCTTTTCTGAAAAATCAACCATAGGAAATCCTGTGGAGCTGTGTTCTATCCTGATTCACCTGGACTGTCCATAAATAGAAGCCAGAAGAGCTCTAGTGGTGAAGTTCATAGCTAGTTGAAGGTCAACCAAAAGGGAGAACGACCCTCAATGAGCTGGACCAACGAGATGAGTGGATTTAGCAGTGCTCATTGGAGAGAGAGCTCAGGATCAGGTAGTGTTTCTGTCTGCTGTACACAGGACTGCTGTGAATCAGCGGCAGTTTGATGATAGCTACCACCAGTAAAAGACAGCACCTATCTTTAAAGTCAATGTGGCTATAATATCAGTATGTATGGGGTTGGGTTTTTTTTTTCTCCCATTCCCATCTTTTATCACTTAACAGTATGTCCTGGCAATCACACTCTATCAGTTCCTAGAGAATCGAAGCAGACTGAACATTTTTTACTTTGATAATGAGGAAAAAAAATGCTGTCCATGGATGAATTGAAAAACTTGGTAGACTTAGTGGTGAGGATAATCAACTGTGTAAGAGTTATCATTGATGATATTTGTATGGCTGGATTAAACTAGATTGTCTCAGGAAGCACTGAGCACACTGCCTAGTACGTTGTGGTGTTGTTGTTAGGTCCTGTCGAGTCAGTTATGACTCAAAGTGACCTATGAACAGCTGACCTGAACCCTGCCTTATCCTGTGCCATCCTCATCATTTCTTACACACTGGAGCCCACTGCTGAAGTCACCATGTCAATCCATCTCATTGGAGGTCTTCCTCTTCTTTGCTGACTCTCCATCTTCCTAAACGTGATGTCCTGTTCTAAGGAATAGCCTCTCCTAGCTACATGTCCGAAGTATGAAAGGTGAAGCTTCACCATCTTTGCTTCTACGGAGCACTCTGGCTGCATTTTTCCCAAGACACATAATTTTGTTCTCTCAGCAGTCCATTCAGTTCTCTTCTCCAGAACCATAGTTCAAAGGCATCAGTTCTTTTTGTCATCCTTATTCATTATCCTGCTCTCAGATGCATAGTAGGTGATTAAGAAGACCACAGCCTGAATCTGGTGCACCTTAGTCTTCAAACTGACATCATTGCTCCTCATTATTTTGGATAGGTCCCTGACAGCAGCCTTTGTCCAATGCAATATGTCTCCTGACTTCCTGACTGCTGATACCAAGGGTGTTGATGGGTAATCTAAGGAAGATGAAATCGTTGACAGCTTCCAGCCTTTCTCCATAGAGAAAGCGCTTTATAATGGAAGCTGCTATTACTTTGGGGCAGCGGTGGTTCAGGTTCAGAATTCTTGTCTTCAGTGAGCCAGAACTAGTTTTGATTCCCTGTGAAATCAGCACCAGTTTGTACATGGTGGTGATATATTCCTGGGATGCTGCACAGGTCTCCCTGGAGCTTCCAGACTAAGATAGAGTAGGAAGAACATCCCGGTGATCTCTTTCCAAAAGCCAGCTGAGGAAAGCCCTGTGGGTCACCGTGGTTCAGTTCATACCATCGTGGGGCTGAGACAGGACCTGGAGACATTTTGGCTCCATTGTACGCGCGGGAGTCATGGTTCAGGCGCCAATTTGGCAGCAGCTAACAGTACAGTGACTTTGACAGCCAGCGAACGAACGAGTTTTGTTTCCAATGAAAACACCGTGGATCACAGTGTTTTCAGTTCATAACTGATCCTGGGATGATTCAGGAGCAGATCCTGACAGCAGCTAATAGTACAGTTACTTTGACAGTCAGAGGATGGCTTACGTTTGGCTCTTTGGCCCCTTAAGGAGCAAGCCCCATCCATTATCCGTTTACACAGGCGCTCACCTCCTCACTCCTTCGCCTGGCAGGTTTTGATTGTGCTTCTCTGGGGAGCAGAGGCTGCGCTTCACCGCTTTGGAACTCTTAAAGCCAGGGGGATTACCTCCTTCCTAAAGAACAGTGGCAGTCAGCCTCCAGTTTGCCTAGGTATTTGGGTGGGTTGTGGTGGTAAGAAACCTAAGTGATTCCAAGTTAAGTAAGAAAGGACTCATTGCACTCTCTGCTTGTGGGGTTGGAGGTCTAGTGATATAATGTGTTATGTCCTGGGCTTCAAAGATCAGCTGTTCAAATCTCTCCCTGAGAGAAAGGTGAGGCAGTCTGCTCATTAATATTTATCACCTCATTGGAAACCCAATGGGAGGCCCCAAGAGCTTTAATTGACCCTATGGCAGTGTTATTTATTTACTGTTGTGCTTAGCTGGGCAGCCATGCTCTGGTCTGATCGACTTCATTCTCTCCTAATGCCTTACTGTTTGTCTAATTTTTCCCTTCCGCAGCCAAAGCAAAATCGAAATGCGGCCCAACATTCTTCCCCTGTGCGAGCGGCATCCACTGCATCATTGGCCGCTTCCGGTGCAACGGCTTTGAGGACTGTCCTGATGGCAGCGACGAGGAGAACTGCAGTAAGTGCGGGGGGTGGACACTCGGAACCTTCTCTTTCCACGCTGGTGTTTCTGATAGCCGTGGGCTTGCCACTCTGCGTCAATGTTTAATACTCACTGACCGTTTACTGGGAACTTCCTGGGGCCAGAGCGAGCTTATAATAAGCCACGCAAACGCAGCCATACAGTTATTAGCCCAATTGACAGGTAAGGAAACTCAAGTAGAGAGTGGTCAGTTACATTAACTCATCCAGCCTCCATGGCTAATAAGTAAATAGTAGAGTCAATTCTGGGCTCATTCAGACCTTCGTCTCCTTAGCTCTGTAAGCCAAGACTGCCATGTGCTTGCTTGCTTTTCTTCTGCATTTTTATTTTTAGGGCAGAAATATTTGAATTTATCTTGTACACACACTAAAAGGATATCAAAGTAAAGTCCTCATTGATTGAAACAACGTGCATTCTTTTTTTAAAAAAAAATATTTATTTATTTTTCTTGTTGTGTACCATTGAATCGGATCTGACTGGCACAGGAGGAGATTGCCCCTCCTTCTCCAGCAGAGCATCTGGTGGATTTAAACCATGTGCCTTCAGGATTGCAGTGCAGCTTCTTTGCCACTAGGCCACCAGAGCTCCTTTACCATGTGTGTTCTTTTGAGTGGCTTTATGTATCATACCATAGAGTCCCTGGGAGGGGTGTGTGTGTGTGTGAAAATGGGTGACACTCAACTGCTGACTGAAAGTTTGAAAGTTCAAACCAGTCAGAGATGGAAGGAAATTCTGTGATCAAATTCTATAAAATCAGTCCTTAAAGATTCTGTAGAGCATCGTTCTACTCTGACATGCTCCGGGTTACTCTGTGTTAAGAGTTAATTTGATGATAGGAAAGGACACAACCTGCGTACACACAGCTCTACGTCCATGTGTGCTCATTCAACCTTACCCTACCTCTTACCACTCTTGGTGGTTTTCTAACTACCTTCTGTCTGCATGCATATGCTGCTTTCCTTTCCAGCATCTCTGTGTTCAGAGTGACTGTGTGTACACCAACCTCAGGGACTGCCAAGTGTCCCTTCCTCGATTTTAAGTGTCCAGCTTGCCCAGCGAGCTGCTTTATGAATTGTTCCCTCCCATTACTATTTCTTCTTTCCCTTTTAAATGTTAGTATACTTGAGTCTATGTGACTGTAGTCAACTTTGCACAAATGTGTCCCATTTTCTGTGCTTACATATTTAAAACATCTTTTAATTATTATAACACAGACAAAGGAGACTTCCTTACTTTTGAGTTGGAACCAACTCATAGCTGACCCTCCATGGGATTTCTGCAACTGCCATCACAAGGGAAGAGAGGATCCAGCCTCTTTCCTCCAAGCTGTGGGTGGACATGAACCACTAGACAGATGTGACCTTTGAGTGAGCTCCACAACTCCCTACAAACTAAACCAAAAGAGTTCCCTAACAGTTGTGAAACAACCTCACATCTCATTGCCATCATGTCAGAACTGGTTCACACCTGACCCTTTGGTGAATTTCCGAGGCTGTAAATCACACAGGAGGTGATTATCTCTCCCTCGGAGCAACTGCTAGATTTGAACCCCCAGAGGAGCATGGCCTTTGAATGAACAGTGCAACTCCCTGCAGAATAAGCCACTTAGTTAGGTGTCACCTCTTTGGCCACAACTCACTGAGACCCTGTGAGCAGTAGATCCAATCCTTGTCCAGTCCTGTGCCATCCTCACAGTCTCTGAAATGCGCCAGCCCGTTGTTAGAGTCAGTGTCAATCAGCCTTCTTGAGGACCTTCCTCTCTTTCTCTGACCCCCCCACTTTTCCCAGCAAAATGTCTTTTTCCAGCAAGCACCCCTTCCTGACCAGCGTGTGTGAGGTGAAATTTCAACCATCCTTACCTCAGAGGGGCACCTTGGCTGCACTCCTTCCAAGATAGACTTGTTTGTGCTTTTGGCAATTCATGGGATATTTTTCCCCCTTTATATATTTTTTTTATTATTATTAATTTTAATAAAAATTTACAGAGACTTTATATTTCCATTCATTCATTGTTGCACTTTTCTCCCTGCCCACCCCTTCCCCGCAGTTCATGGGATATTCATTACTTTTCTCCAGCATCACAATTCAGTGGCGCTGATTCTTCTGTCTTCCTTATTAATTGTCCAACTTTGAGATGCATAGGAAGCCGTTGAAAATAGCCTGGCTTGGCATGGTCAGGCATACCTTAGTTTTTAAACTGACAAACATCATTGCTCCTTAGCACGTTGGAGAGGTCCTTGCTAAAGATTAGGCCACGAGAGCCAAATAATTAATGTAAAGAGCTTGTAAAATACAGAAACATATAAAGAACGAGACAGAATTACTGGTAATCTCATCACCTGGAACAAAACACTTAAGTCTTCAGGCTGTTTCATCCCTTTCTCAATACATATCCTTTCACTGCTGTGCCCGAGATGTCTCCTTCAGTGTGACCATTTTGGCTATGTCATTGATTATTTCCCCCCCAAAAGGTAAATTCTAATGCCTTTGGTGATTGTTTTGATAGATTGTTGCCCATCCTGTTTGGAGGAGGGCCATTGTCCTCTGTGTATATATATCTGCCCAGGGAGCAGTGATTGCTGTACCCTCCCAGCAGGCAGACAGAGTTTATAACTCTCCGGTGTCCCTTCTCCTGTGGCCTTATTTCATCCCCTGAGTCTCAGATGGCAGAAATATGGCATAGCTGCCCAATTGTTGTGTGGTTTAGCATGGTAGCGGAACCTCACCTTAGCTGGGAATTTGGGTGTATTTCACTAATAGGGAAGAGGCAAGAAGAGAGAAATGAGTCCAAGGTCAGGGAGCGTGGGCTGAGATTTGTGTGTCGTCCTCATGAAGCCAGAGTGGACTGTGCTGCATAATCTCCGGGCCAGGTGGTTCCCTTGCCTTTGATCTAAAAGAGCATGCTGATAACCTGCTTCCCAGGGCTGGTGTGATGATTAGATGAGATACTGCCAGTAAGGTGATTAGTATAATGGCTGGCACTGTGGAGATAATTTTTTTTTAAAACTCAGAATTGTGCATGATTAAGGCAAATACACATGCACTAGGACTCTTTTGGATTTGGATGTCTAAGTATATACTTCATTCATATTTCACTTAATCCTTTAAACAGTGTTTATCAACTTGAGTACAACCTCCTTTTGTCAATGAAGATCTTATCATTTTAAGTCTGTCTTGGTGTCATCCTTAGGGAGTTGCACTGCTAGTACAAAAATAGTGAAACACTGCCGATTATTCCCATCTCTGGTGATATGAATCTACAGATGGTTCTATAGTCTGCTGGGAAAAGATGAGCGGTCTCCTCCCTTTTGATTTTTTTGTTGTTAGGCGCTATTGAGTTGACTACGATTCAGCAACCCTATGAACAAATGACTCTGAACCCTAGATCCTAGCTTCTGAAAACTTGCTGGAGGGTCAGCTAAGAGTTGGGTCCACCTCAACAGCAAGGAATGGGAAATATGCCTGTATGTTGGGAGATGCCACTAAGTCCAACTCGTAACAACCCTACGAACAACAGATTTGAACCCCGTCCTAGCCTGTGCTGTCCTCATTGCTGCAGTCACGGTGACAATCCATCAGTTGGTTGCGGGTCTTCCTCTCTTTTGCTGACCTTCCATCTTTTCAGTATGATGTACCTCCTGTCCAAGGAATAGCCTCTCATAGGAGCGTGCCTGTAATAGGTGAATCAAAGCTTTGTCAACTTTGCCTCTAAGTAACATTTTGACCTTACTTTCTCCAAGATCTGTGGAATAGTTTGTACTCATCTCTAATACCACAGCTTTAAGGCATCAGTTCATGTTCTGTCACCCTTATTCATTGTCCAGCTCTCACATGCAAAGCAAATGATGGAAAAGTAAGGATTTGTGCTGCCAACATGAAGGCATGTGGTTCAAATCCACCGGCTTCTCTGTGGGAGAATTGTAGGAAATCTCCTGTATAATTTATTGCCTCTGAAAACCCACTGGAGGGTCAGGTGTAAGTTGGCTCTGACTAGATGGTACATAACAACATAGGGAGAAATGTATTTGTGTGTATGTATGCATATAGTTTTGCACACACTCCTTGAAGTCTGTGCCAGTGACAATGAAAAGTAAATGTGATGCGGTATAGGACATATATTCCAAAGGACTGTTCCATCTGAGGTGCTTCCTGCCATAATTAAAGACCCTGCCTGATTGTAATGTTTGGATATTAGTGTTTAACTGTGTACAATGAGTAAATTATCACTATTCCAAGTTTATGTCAGTGGACATTTAGCCAACATTTCTTTTTCATATGTACTTTTGAAAAGTCGTTATTCTCACTCATTATTCAGAAATCTGGCAAATAGAAGAATTGGGCGTTCTTTATTATCCCTTCCTTATAGAATTGCACTTTAGCATAATCAAATATTTGACTTGGAAAAGCCCTTTTCAAAGAATACCAGCCATTCAAAGAATGACAGAATTAGACTAATGCATTACGCCACCACAGCTCCTTCTAATGAAGATGTGAAGCTGGTCAAGGTGAGACTGCTACCGTCAATGCAAATGCCACTTCAGCATAAAGAAAGCAGAAATCCTCACACATGGGCCAAAAAGCAACATCATGATTAATGCAATAAACGATGGAAATTGTTCAAGAGTTTCATTTTTACTTTTACTATCTGTAGTCATCACCTGTGGAAGCAGCAGTTTAAAAACCACTTATGGAATTAGGCAACTCTGATGCAAGAAACATATTTAATTTTTCTTTATTTTATGTGTGTGTGTGTGTGTGTGTGTGTGTGTGTGTGTGTGCCGTCAAATCAGATCTGACTCGTACGGGAGGAGATTGGCCCTTTTTCTCCAGCAGAGCATCTGGTGGATTCGAACCACGTACCTCTGAGTTTGCAGTGCACCTTCTTGCCACTGCAAAAGACATATGTAAAAGGTTTAGAATAAGCAAGAAAAGTGAAAGTGTGACTTTGGGGACCAACATAGGCCTGGCCCACGCTG